CTGTAAGTGATGTTAACATGTTAACTGGAACTCTGTTATAGATGGAGAACCAAATGTTGATTCAGCTTTTTAATTTTTTGTAGAGCATTATTGTAAACTGCATAATTCATGTTTTCCATTTGTTGAAACTATTAAACTGAATAATGCCAGATATCCACCTTGGATGACCTTAACTCTATCACCGATTTAAAGATACGGGTAATCTATGGATATACAATAAATATTTAGAACTTAATGTGATTGTTCAGCATTAAGTTGCTGGTCATAAAGCTAAGTACTTTAAAAAAAATTTTTAGGATGATGACTCTCGTTACATATGGCGAACTATTAACAAACAACTAGGTAGCACTAAAGAAAATAATGCAAATATAACACGTATCTGTAACAACACAGGTTCTTGTGTTACTGACCCTGCTGATATTGTTAATATTTTCAATGATTATTTTACTAAGCAGGGTCTTACTCCTACTAACATTATGTGTCAAGATAAGCCTATAGCTCATTCAGACTACTTATCTTGCATTCGTAACTGCGACTGAAATTCCAGCTGCCACAAAGGCACTCTCTAGTTCGTCTTCAGCTGGATCGGATGATGTTCTACCATCAGTGGTTAAATCTGCTAGTAATCCAATTATTGAACCTTTAACTGTATTTGTAAATAAGATATGTACAACTGGTAAACTTCCTGAGATTCTTCAAATTGTTAAGACTGGTCCCATCTACAAGGGTGGGAATCCTGTTCATGTAGAAAATTATTGGCCTATTTTCATCTTATCTGCATTCACTCGTATTATGAGTGTATATTGTGATTCTTGAGAAAAATAAGATTTTAAGTAATTCGTAATTTGTTTTCAGTAAGCACAAATCTGCTGAAAAGTATTTATTGGCTATTATTACGAAATAAGGGTTATGAGGTTAAAAAATCTCTTTTAGTCTGGGCTCTTGATATTGCCAAGGCGTTTGATAGTATTAATCACAAACTTTTACTTTATAAATGTGCTCATTATGGTCTATGTGGTAATATTTATAATATTCTTAAAACTTACTTGCTAAATTAGCAATGTTGTACCTCATTTAATGGTATAAAGCCTCATTTCTCTAGTCTCCATTGTGGGGTTCCTCAAGGTTCAATCCTTGGCCCCCTCTTATATATTATTTACGTTAATGATTTAATTTCGGAATGTTCAAAAGACTGAGTTGCATCTGTGTTTCAACCTGATGGAAAAACAGAGCTAGCCATCAGAATAATTGCAAGGCTCAATAAAAGGTGTCCCACAGAGAATATGGTTGCTTATGTGGACAGTCTGTGCAATTTACACAAAAGACATATCCTACTATGGCATGAATAGGTCACGAGGATTTTATCATTGACATATTTATTAAGAATCCACCAAGTTAGATGATTTGAATCACCAGAGTGTGCGAAACATTCTCATCCTACTTCTGTGATTCTTGAGAAAAATAAGATTTTAAGTAATTCGTAGTTTGGTTTCAGTAAGCACAAATCTACTGAAAAGTGTTTATTGGCTATTACTACGAAATAAGGATTATGAGGTTAAAAAATCTGTTTTAGTCTGGGCTCTTGATATTGCCAAGGCGTTTGATAGTATTAATCACAAACTTTTACTTTATAAATGTGTTCATTATGGTCTATGTGGTAATATTTATAATATTCTTAAAACTTACTTACTAAATTAGCAATGTTGTACCTCAATTAATGGTATAAAGCCTCATTTCTCTAGTCTCCATTGTGGAGTTCCTCAAGGTTCAATCCTTGGCCCCCCTCTTATATATTATTTACGTTAATGATTTAATTTCGGTATGTTCAAAAGATACATGCAATCTATATGCTGACGATATGACTCTTACTGTAAAGGCTGATTCTCTTGCTCACTGTTTTAAAATATATATGTTTTAAAATAGTTGTGTAATGCATGTGTTCTCTTCTCAGTATGTTATAAACACACCCACTTACTGATTTCTATTATCTTACTGGCAAAAATGGTGTTTTGGATATCCTTGTGTACTCTGTGTTTCACAGCATGAATGTTGCAAGAGCAGTAGAGTTCATTTTGCAAGTCAACAAACCTCAAGCTTAAGTAACACTGCAGCAGGACAGAGTGAAAGTAAAACAAATACAATGCAACAGGCAAGCTCTAGCTTCCATTGTTCAATTTGTTGCTATTCAAAATTTTCCTTTTGAGGAAATCGTTATGACAATCTTATGGCTCCAAGTCATTTATTTCCTTTAAAGAATGTTGGTAAATTTAATGTTATTGAAATTCAGAATACAATGTGGTGACAAGACTGTACAACAGCATCTACTGAAACCAAACAAACTACATCATATACTAGCAAAACAGTTCAAAATGAGTTACTCTAAGATATGGCAACAATGAATAAAAACAAAATCATGGAGCGTATGCAAGCTTCACCAGCATGTGCATTAAAGGCAAACAAGATCACAGGCCGAGCCAATAGAGAGCAAATTACATTAGAAGTACGTTACATATCAAAATCAAAATAAAGCTATACTTTTGTAGCCACAAATGATCCAATCAGTTTACTGAATGTTCCTTACGACATTTGTGAACTAACACATGATCTAGGAGCTGCAGAACAAAAACAAATGAGCGGAGAAAATATAGCATTCGTGATTAAAGACAATCTGCAAATCTAGGTCTAGAAACTTCAAACTTATTGCCCAGTACTATTATGAAGTAGCATCTATGTCAAGTGTAAAGGTTGGTGTGGTAGCATATGTGAAGGAGGCGGTGCCGCATGCAGATTACTTCCATTGTGCAAACCATGGTATGAACATGGCAACACCTCTGGTAACCCTTGTGGATATTGTTTGAAATGCAGAAAGATTTAGCAATGTAAAATATCATTGTATTTGTCACAGACAACACAAAAAGTACAGAACTGCTTCTATATGTCACAAAGGATAAGAATAATGAAGGTTTATAGAAGAAAAATATCTTGTAAACTTTTCATTGCGCATTTGGAAAACAAGTATATTGTAGTTGAATGTTTTTGGAAGCAGTTGCCAGCACTGACTTCATACCTGCAGTTGACGCAGTGTAGTAAGACCTTAGAAGTCGTTTCATGGAGCATCAACGAAATGCATTTAGAATGTGCGTTCCTCTACCAAACAAGGCAGGAAATAGTTACCGAAATTAATTGAAACCAAGCTGGGGGAACTATAGGTCTCTATTAAATGACTGCACAGAAGAACAAGTGACCGCGAAGTTTAAATTGTGTTTTGCAGACAATATGAAGGCAAAACAGAAGGCTTAGATTACTGTGCTGTAACTGCTTTGAATGGATGTTCTGTTAATGCTTTCCTGAACATTCAACGCCTTCTGGCAATTGTTGCATTGCTTCCAATGTTTACAGCTGAGATTGAGAGAATTTTCTTGAAGGTGGAATACACACTAACAGCCCTGCAGAGTACAATGTCAGAAGGCCGATTTGAAGTTTGGATCTCACTACAAGCACACCAAAATTTATTGCTTGAGACGTAATTCAACATTTTGCTTTGAGTGATGTACAAACCTTGACTTTATATCACCTCTTTGACTTTAAAGAATAAGAAATTAAAATTTCTATAATTTCACTGAGGATCAGTGTCTTTTTATCAAAAGGTGTAATTCTAACGAAACCATTAGTTGATCACAAAACAACATACGTAATAAAAATCATTTTATTTCTTTATCTCATTATTTCAAATATGAAACGAATTTACTACCACTCAATCTACTTAGTAATAAGTGCCTGGCATGGCCAGGTGGATAAGGTGCTCGACTCACAATCTGAGGGTCGCGGGTTCG